GCAGCATGCTCGCTCATTGGGCATCATCATCGTCATGCACACGCGATGCGCGGTAGGAGACAGGCAAGCTATCCAACCCGTTCAATAATTGATGACATGGACACTGCTTTAATACAGGTCAGGCGGAGGATTTCTAGTCACTTTAAACCACGTTCGTGTCAATCTCAGATAGCTCAGCAAAAATCACATCACAGGTCTAAGAGCGCGGAGAAACGTAAGGCCTTTTAATTCATGTCGACGAAGTACACCTCCGAGATCAAGATAGTTTCCATTTCAAATGTAACTTTTAGCCAAGATCATTCAATTAAGACTGTTTTTATTTCTAAAATTTCAGAGTGAGTATATCTTTCGGTTTGATCTTATTAAGGTATCTTCTCTTCTTGTGAACCGCTAAGATGTTATTGGTAAGCAGAAACATTGATGTGGTGATTTCTATTCCGATTCCTCCTCGCATTATGTGGGCACTTAGATATCGCGTTTGTGGGCGTAACGTTGAAAAAAAAGTCGGTCAGCGTCTTCAAATCTGAACAATATTTTGTGAATTGCGGACTTGTTCTCAAACCGAAACGGATGCGTTCCCTTTCCTGCAGCCCACGGGTTCCCAAACCGCAAACGTCCGAACGTCAGCAAGGGCCCACGGGAATGAGATTTGTCGTCTTTTAATAATCAAGAAGTGAGAAAAGAGGTAGGGATGTCCAAAATAAGCATCTACAAGACGTTTCATAGTTTCGCTCTTGCAAAAGTTGTAGGAAATATACACTAACAGTAAGTCTGCTTTGTTGACACGATTCAACCGGAATAATTGTTTTATGGATTGTGAGGAGAAAGAAAAAAAGCAGTATGTGAAGAGGAAGACTATGCAAGCAGTAGGTGTAATTTACCCTACTCGATGCCGAGAAAGTATGGAAGAAAAAACAAGTGATCTCAAAAAGTAATCAGAAAAATATAAACTACAAGAAAATAATTTCCTTAGGTGCTTGTTCTTCAAACAAAAGACTCGTCTTGACAATAAGTTCATCACTTTTGGCCAATAGTTAAAGAACACGATCACAATAACGAGACAATTGGAAAGAGTTCGTAGAACATTAAAAGTAGCTTCAACCCACTCTAGAATTGTATGCCATCTAAACATCGTATAATGGCAAGACCTCGCCTATGAGGCTCCGATAGAAAGCTACTCTTAAAGACAACAGTCAAAATGTTATTTCTGAAAAAAGGTGAGTTTGATGTTTTCCGCGTCAATTGCCAGACGCAAATTTAGCACGCTCGCCCGGCGAACAATAATGGTTTTGCAAACAATGCGTTTACCGCCATGCGATAGGAGTTTGTTTCAAGCGGTCACGTACCATGAACAAGAAAGAAATCATAGCGAGGAGGGAACAACCGTGAATGGTTTGTCATTTTACTGAGCAAACCTGGAATATCGTCGGGAACCAACACCTTTACTCTGCTCCATGCAATAAAGTTGTGAGTCGAGATGTCTTTCAAATTGAATTGGAGCGACTAGTTTTGCGTTATTTTGTTAGATCGAGGGGAAAGTTACAGATGTTAAGCAGTGAATAAAACGCAAACCCGATCAGTTCGGTCACTTCGCTCCATTCAAAAAAATCATGAAGCATCTTCCCGAGCCGATGTGGGCAACTCTTTCCAAGAAAACCAGAAATCAGGTCGTTTAAGTTCTTAATCATTCAATGTTCAGTCCTCCACGCAACTCCTCTAAGACTGCGCCTAACTTACTCTTCGTAGTCTTTCGCACTCAGCTTATTGAATGTAATAGACCTAAGACACAATGACGTCACGCTTTGTTTACATGTGCGCTTTCCAATGGAATCCAGGTGGCTTTGGGGACGATTCCTCACCTGGCTCCCATAGGAGAGTGCACATGTAAACAAAACGTGACGTCATTATGTATTAAGTCCATTAGGTGTATTTTTTTTTTATTCAAATGAAATCTGAGAGAAATCCCTCTTTAATATCACAAAAGTAGCAAATGTTCAGCGCACGGCAGCAACTGCTTTTAAGTGGATTATTTGTTTAGTGTAAATCCGAGGATTCATGATCATTTCAGTTTTCCTTAGCACAGCAAATTAGTTTCGGCTTATGCCTTTGCCTGCATCACATCGTTCGGTTCCAACTCATGTGTATTATATCATGCCGAATAGTGATAAATTGTTATGGCAATACTAATTTATGAAACAATCCGATAACACTTCATGCGAGCTCTACTAATGATACCACTTAGATACAGGTTAGAGGATTTAATGGCCATTTTACCCGATGTTATATATTAATTAATACGCAATCCACAGAGTAGATGGAGTGCACTTGTCACGGTACTCATGCACCGCTCAAAGTGCAGACATAGTTCAGGCCCGGCTGCCTGATAGCACCGCCTGACTTCCAATTTTTTGACTGCAAGAAGTGCGACAATATTGCACTTTTTTTTCTTTAATGACAACAAAATAATGACTCACTGCCCCGTGTGGTGCTCTTCAATGACGAAAATTTTGGACAATAACTGTGTTTACCAGCGAGTCTCTTTTTTTTAATGGGTTTTGATATAAACCTTGGTAACAATGAAATCACATCATTATCACTAGTTAACCCAGGCTGTACTTTCCCCTTCCTTTTGCCGGCGTCACGTCATGTACGTGTCACCTCTAAACACTCCATGCATAAAAACCGCTGGGGTCTTCTCTGATAATAAACGTGTGCGGTGTGTAATGAATTTAATAGATATAAAGCAAAGATGATGATAAGTGAAGTAAGAAAATAAAAGGAAGATGGGGGCAAACGCCGACGTGGGAATGGGATTGTTTGCCCAATTTCCACCGTCAGAGTCCACGGCATAGGGAGAAACAATTGAACAAGTCCAATCTATCCTCCATTAAATTTCATTTGCGGCAGTGATTTGACAGATCCTCCGCCGAGGCACGTCCCCCTTGGGTCTTCATGATGTGGGTACATTTAGGCAGACATCAGCGGAGCGTCCCTGCTTCGCCCAGGCCCGCACTGACTGTTAAAACTCGCCGATCTTTGATGTCGAGCACGCTCGCTTGCGTGCCCGGCCGCGCTAATGTTTTCTTTGCGCCGGGGCACGGTACTTTACCAGAGAAGAGGGCGAGGGAAAGGCAAACGAAATTAAGGGATGATAATGGCGCGAAATAGCGCCCGGATAACCATCAAGCGGTCAAGAGTAAATTTGTCAAAGCAACATTCGGCTCTGATTCAATTACTGTCTGTCTGTGTAGCGTGAATGAAAGGTTTGGATTAAGGTTTTTTATATAAGAAATTTGCTCCCTTGTGTATGTAACATCATACGCGACCCCCATAAAGCCATAATAGTTTCCATTTTCAAATTCATTTCCAAGTTAAATCGAGTGAACGTAAAAGGCTGGCTATGTCTATGGTCAATTTAGTTGACTGATGATGGGTTGTTATCAGTCCATAAGTGTCCACTAGATTGTCGAAAATTAATACAAGTTATTCGCAATTGAGAACATCTTTTGCTTTTAATAAAATGGGTTTGTCACATCGAATATAATGTTTAAAACAATCACCACCGAAGGCAACAAAATCTGGCTGGCATATCCAGAAGCTTGATTAATCATTGACACCGCTACATTCGTCTTCCTTTTAAATGATGTTGTCTCTTGCAACAATTGTTTATATTGAGTTCGGATGAGCAGCGCACGAGTCAACAGTCGTATATTCTTTCCTGAGGCCACGGGGACATTTAACAAATGATCGGAACTCAACCATTATTCTGCTGCAAAATTGCCGGCAATTGCCGTAGATAATTGTCTGAGAGTTGAAACCCATCAATTAAGTGTCTTTCCTATGTGAAGACCCTACGTCGCTACTTCTCATCAGCTCGCCTTTTCCTGAGCTTCAAGGAAGCAGCGAGACACTCTATACACCATGGAAGCGGTGGGCCGTTCAGCCCCCTCAAACAAACAAAAAACAGATACAGCAGAGGACAAACAATTGCCGCCTGAAATCAGCGGGTTCCGTTTCATGGCATACCGAGTGAGCGGAGGTAAACCGCGCAGAACTGACGGACGCAACGGGGGCTATGCAGCGCACGACCGGGCGAACCGCGCGCGGTAACCGCCTCAGCAGCCCGCGGACCCCGGGAAAATCAACGGAACCGGATGCGGGCAAGGCACTCCGCGTCTGTTTGATTATCCTCTTATAACGGGGACTGATTAAAACCATTGGCGAATCAATTAAGGGACATCTTTCTCGGCTGTCAGTTCGGGAGATGGATGGCAACCGATTTAGGATGGATGATTTTTGAGAGAAGCCAGTAACGATTGTACCCATTGCGCGAGAATAATTCAAGCTGGCATGATTTTTCAAATTAGTCTGATTTAGTTTCAAATAGTCTACTTTACTGCTTTCCTGTAGATAAACACTGCTTGGATGACTGATTTACCCATACAGGTGCTAGACGTTCATTTCCGTTTTTCATTTCGAAGCTGCTGGCGCAATAGCTGAACTGAAGACTTAAATCAAAGTACACATTAAAATAGTGTCTTCTGTACAAGAACACCAAACTCATTTATTTTGCACGTGCGTTATTACATGTTTAATAGTTACCGGTCCCTTGTGAAAATAAGAAATTCCCCCAGGTACAGTCCTGACCCTCCAGATCTCACAGAATGATCCTAAGACGAACATTTTAAGAAATGATGCTGGACTACACATCACAAGCAAAAGGATCATCCTCACAGCCGTATGACACCAATGATCTAAAAGAGATGTCTTTATGGGCAAATTTAAGAGCCGGAAGCCACGCTCTATATTGGCTTAGGTGCGGTAAGATCCCCCTAGATTCCAAGGCGACATAAAGACAGAGGAAAAGGTGTATGCTGTAGGGGACTAAGATTCACCATACCCCAAGGAAAGGGATCGTTCTGGTGAACTAAGTATTTATCCCTGTCAAAGTCGGGAGATTTCTTTCCCCGATGGACCGAGCGTTTAAGCCGTGTATATACTTGTCATTGCTGATATCAAGCGGAGCCGCCTTGACCGGCCCGAGGGGGGAAGTTTGAGGAGCCCCGGACGCTCCCAGGAGACCCACATTAGCTGATTGGATCTCGTTGGGGGCTGAAAAATAAACCAATTGCATGGAGTGTATTACGGAACCGTTTAGGCCAAAATTAATCATAATCCGCGGACCAGTTAGCATTGGCTATATGACACCGCGTTGTATTTTTCTTTTTTTCACCCTTGGATTTTTTTCAAAATTAAGAGGAATTTTTGAGACGTTCCTTGTTTCATTCTGCTGCATGTTTCGATGGCAACCAAAGAGAGAAGAGATTGCAATGTCACGCAACGCAATCGATGTTGTGTGTCTGGTGAGGACATCAGCCATTCACAGTTCATTCCTCTTATCACGTGACTTCAAAAGTCACGTGATACACTGACAAAACCTTGTCTATTAATATCGGACTTTCATTCAACTTGGCGTAATTAATTATTCTCCAAAGTCTTTTTTACGGTGACAGATTTAAACTCTTGAGGGCGCGCTAGGGTCATTTGGTTACTGAAATCAAACAGCAGCTATTTCCAACCAGTTATTCGCAATCTAGTAATTACTTGCTCGGCATCAAGTGGACAATTATCGACATGGCAATAAAAAAATCCTTCACCTTGTCGGGACAGTCGTTTAAGTTGTATCTTTTGGCCCAGTGCCCCAGATCCGGGGGCGGATATTCCAGCTTGTGCGTCCTGAACGTCGTAGCGCGATCAGCCAACGCCTCACCGCCGCCATTGTTAATACTCTCCCTGTTTTGCATCGATCTGCTTGGCCTTGCCCCAGTCCCACTGAGCAGGGACGGTAGGTATATTAAAACATGGACATCGCAGGTAAACTCAACTCCCCGGTCCTTTGTCCCCGGAAATGTAATAAACACTTTGCTTAAAAAAGGAGACAAGAAAAACTGCTGCAAAGAAAGTGAATATTGTGGGCGTGGTTTGTGAAGGACGACGGGCGTTACTGGAGCATGATGTAATCTGCCACCAGTGGAGTGTTGCATCGCGGGATTCTAAGCAGCAAAGGAGGAATTTTGAAAGGACTTCCTCTTCGTTCCTTTCTTCTTCACAACCCCAGTTTTCTGTTCACAGTGGGTGACATTTACAGACGTGCCCCTGCCTAGCCATTCCCGCTTAAAATGCCCGGGACGTCCCCCTGATAGAAGCGGTGACGGTCACCCGGTGAAATGTCCATAAAGTCAGGCGAGGTAATCATTGGCGTTTAATCACACACCGCGGACTCCTTGAACGCCAGTCGCATTTCATAAATTGCAGTTTGCAACCCGTAATAATATTTGCTGAAATCTTTTTAATCTGCGCGAATCGGCAACCGATGGTGCCTGGTAGGGAGGATTTGTTTTAATTACTATTTTGCCGGCGCTTCGGCGGTACTATGCGGCAGTGCATATGCATATATGCACAGCACGAGTCTTGAGTCACAACCCTTTCTGTATGACCGCTGCCGTACGTGTATGTGAATAACACCGACCAGCACAATCCATACGCACGAACGTTACACCGAGATACCAACGGAAAATGAGAACAAACGATCAAATTAAAGGTTATAGACCATAACCTTAACAAATCGTATGACTGGAAAAAGCTACAAACTCATCAAATGCAAGATATTTGGCCGTGGCCGACTGTGCTGAGCCACCGCCTCGTAAAATAACGACACTAATGATGTTTGAGCGAACCAGTTATGGGGAGTGGATTCACGTAGGCTCCGAGGACATACCAGTCACGGCTAGCACCTAAATTCGCCGAAATATATTCCCGGACTTTATTCCCCCAAGCTTTTGATGCTTATCTCTTAACGAGGATACTATTCCATATTTTTATTGTGTCCATTTTCTGAGTAAGAGAAGTGAATCTTTACAATACCTAGAGTGCCTGGGAAAAAAATATGCCGAAATTTAGACAGAAGATGACCACTTGTCATTATAATTTTATGCAAGATAAATGCATCACTTGGATTGAACCGTTTTTGTAAAGTCAGGAAATCCACACAAAAAATTCTTAATAGTGATCAGAAGAAAATAACAGCCGGGCATGTAAATTCAACTGCGATTGTAACCGAAAGAGGGCGCTTTACCTTTAATGCACAATAAACAGTGTGCACAAAACGGAATTGTTATAGTTGACAAATGTTTATGGTTGAATTCTTTAATGAATTTCAAAAATAAATTTGCAAAACTATTTTTTCCAGCACCCCCCCCAAAAAAAAAATCGAAAATAAACACTCTTAATGGAACAAACCATATTTAATATGAAAATGATATAAAAACACCAAGATAAATAATTTATATATTTTATTGCCTCGATTCGAAAGAAAATGTGATCCTAAGAACTTGTTGATGCCGATTAGTATTAATCGATTCTGAGTTTCGTCAGTCGTCAGACCAGGTTTGAATATTATATATCTCAACCACTCCTTTGTAAAGTGTATTCCGTATTCGATCCGTCGTCGTGACTGTACGTGAGCCGTGCGATTTTCTCTCTCCACTTATTCTTTTGCCTCGGAGGCAATTTCTTTGCATTTGAGCGATAAGTGGAAATCATGGTCCTTTATTGATATTCCGGTATCTAGCAGACATCATGGCTTATTGACTTAATTAAAAACATTTACGAGTCGAGGGAGATCCGCGAGCGCGGTGTTTCTCATGTCGCTCGTTTTTTTTTCTTCTTTTTAGTGAGGCCGTCGCGACAGCCTTTTGGCAATTAACAACGATATCATCGCCATGTTTATGAGTTACTTCTAAAAAATATATTGTGTCTGCCAAATTGCTTAATCGAGCGTTTGAACTATCGGAGCGATATTCCTGTTGGTTATTCTCACTTTCCATTTCGGAAATTGTCGGGAATATTAAAATATAATTGTGTGGCTATCAGAGACGTGGCCTTCGTACATCCGGAGCCACCTGCTAGAATTTTACGAGATATTTAAAGTTTCGATTTCGAGATGAAAATAAATTGAGCAACATACCGTTATCCAGTATTGCCCTCCACCGACGCAAGTCCATCTTATGAATAGTAAACATTTATCCCTGTTTGATTTCTGGTTTGCTAACTGCATAATTTTCCGAATATTAAAATGCACTTATAGGGCAGACAGAACCTTATCTGATGATGTGTAATAATATGTGTACTTTTTATTTTCCCCTTTGACTTAAAATTTCAATTACTTCCCTTTACGAAAAGGAAAGTTTGTTTAGGTAATGCAGTCCAGATGATAATCACTCTCTAAACACCATCTGTAACTGTCTTTTCACAAACAACTGCATATGTACATCACTTTCTATTTCCCATCTCTCAATACACACGAAGCCAATTTACGACCAATTACCAAGATGGGTGTAGTGTCTGTACATGTACAAAAGTCAATCTTACCCGGCAATAATACTAATCAGTTGTCTAAAATACTAACAACAGTTGGCCATTTGGTATAATTTTATGTCTAAAGTCATAGGTTACTAACCTGAGTGACGACCCATTCTATACAAAATTCTATATTTTCACAAATGAGACATATCCATTTAATTTGATAGGATCAAAACGGCAGTGGGTTGAGCTGTGTGAAAGATACAAAAAGCACCACCAACGAATTTAGCTGAGTGAGAACTTCACAGTCCTCTCTCATGAAATAATCACGTGCAGACAGCTTCTTTTGAACCAATCTTCAACACCGGATCAACTGTAGTGGTCCCATAAAATGTGTTCCCATAAAATGTGTCAGTACCCACGCGCCATTTTGAGAGAGAGTTTATGTGTTTTTCTTGTGTGTCTTTTTATTTAACACCTTCGAGGGATGAGTGGCAATTGGAAGCAACCGTCTGCGATGGATCAGGCGGCCTGATTGCCAGCAGACAACCGATTTGTTCGTCTTTCAACCCGAACAGAAACTATCAAAACAGGACGACAGGGCTCGTCAACCTTCCCTCCATAATTTCGACCAGGGGTGTTATTAAGAAAAATGTCTGTCGTCTTACTCGTGGCTGTCAGTGCACGCGGACAAAACTTTGGCGGCATTTAGAAATCGTTACGCGTGTAATCAGTCGGCGTGGGCTGATGGCTTCACTCACATTTAGACACCAAAACGAGTCGTCACTTCAGTTCGTGAGTGATATTTTCCTCCTTTCCCCCTCTTCCTTATATTCTGTTGCAGGCAGTGTATGTCTTCGGGGTCGGGCATGGCGCCGACGACCAATCCCAGTCCAAGCCCTCCATTGAAACCCTAGCAGTCTCAATTTGTAAAATTAAAAATGGCTCGGAGGGGCTTCATCACTTTCCAACAGTATCGGAATGGGTCATAATGTTATTACACCATTTAACGCTCCAAGAGCCACGCAGGCAGTGGATATCTTCTGTCTATCTGACTCTCTCACCATAAGCAGCGGCGCTGGCTGGTCGGGCGATACAGCCCCGGCACTCCCCAGTGAAATATGGAGCAATCATACCATTTGGGTTCGCATGAATTGATTAAAACTTTCAATAATCTTCAACTTGACGGTATCGCTTACCAAATCAGTTTCGGCGGAGGGAAACAAATTTCACTCAGCCGTTTCGTGGCGGGCGAGGCAACGGGTAATGCCGGCCAACGTGTGGCCAAATCAAATTAAGCAAATGGGCCTCTCCTGTGTCGAATTTCATGGTAATTTGTCGTAATCGTAGGCAGGGAATTTTCTTTAATGCTCACTGGAAGTGACGGCGATCGATCCGCGGGCCCCCAAACAAGTTAGCGCCGGTCGTCTGATAAGGCGAATAGGGGTGACGCATCTTTCCTAATTTGGCTGCGGGTGGACAAGGGGCAAAGTGGGGCACATGGCAAACAAAATTATTGGCGCGAAACGGGCCTGTCCTCATTATACCAGGCAAATATTATCTCTGTCTTCTCCGTTTCAATATGAAAAAGAGCGCAAGGGGACTCTAAATGTAGTGCAATGCCAAAGTGTGTTAGCTGAGATCTATAGAACATATACCTATAATGTGATGTTATCAAAGCATTAAAGACATTCCACAATAATGTGTGGCATACGATTCATTACATTATAGTGACGTGTTTAGTTGCCCTTATAGTTATTTTAAACTGCTTGCTTTGTATTCAAATATTTGTGATTGACTGCTTTCACAAACAGAGAGGAATGAATATGGATGTGACATGAAGTGCAAATGTCGCTTTGCCGGGGTGGGGAGCGTAAGTTCGATAGAATACCTTGAAATGCAAATCCAATCCATTGAAAGTGGCAATCATAGTAGGTTGTGTGTTGAAAATAGTTTTCAATCCTCCCCCAAATTTTTTTTGAGATTTTCACATGATGCTGAAACGTCGTCCTCGTTCGTCTAAGGAAGGCGTAGAATTATGGCCAAAAAAGATCAGATGAATATGATCGTATACCCACAAAATTTATATTATACATATTTTTCTGTGTGTCCCAGGTGTAATAGAGAAAAACGCTTTTGGGAAGAACGAATGCCCAATGTAAAATGAATAACACAAAAGAACAACCAGTTCGGACTTACTCTGTACTGGGAGGTGTGCGGTCTTACTTGTGATCAAGTCAGGTCATTCTCGCCAAGTCATGTAATGAAAGGCTTACACTTTAGTGCCCAGGTTTGTTAAATTTACGTCAACGTACACGAATTAATAAACGTCCAGCTATAACCCAAGTGAGCATAATGTAATTGGATATGGAGCTCGCAGTCAGACATGTTCCCTGAGCATTTCTCGCTGACAGGATAAGTGAAATAGCCAACATGGAATTAAAAGGTGAATGTAATCGCGCTCAGCTCCAGCAAACGGAATTAAGTCAACTCCAGAGTGGCGCTGGGATTTGGGGACAGCTTAACTCATCTTACATGGCCTTAACGACGCTGGGTCTTTTTACTCATCGGTTGTCGCTGCCATGTTAACTTGTACCACTGAGATTTTTTTACGGATTTTTTTCTCTCTCTTCCCTGAACCTGCTCCTTCCCGAACCCGACCCCGCGCCAAAAACCAATTTCGGCAATTTACGGTAATTTAAACGGGCCGGGACGAGCACGACCTAATTCTGAATCGGTTCGGACGAGTGGAAGGCCCCGGTATTTTCTATCTCCAATCACGCCAAATTAATAAATACGAGATGATGAAGGCGGGCCAGAGCTATGGGCTGTGAGTGTGTGTGTGTCTCCCTGGACGCGCGGCGCAGCCCCGGCTTGGGCCGGTTGGCTTGAAATGAAGATGAGGAAACTTGAGCACCGTGTATATTCAATAAATAGCGAGTGATGTCTGGATATGAGAAGACGTGAACTCCAGGGAGAGTGGAGGGAAAAAAGAGACGGGGGATAGAGAGCGTTACTCTCTCATTATACAATAAACGGGCTGACAGGCAAAAAAAAAAAGCTGACGTGGAAAGAATAGGAGAGAAAGCAAAATAGAAGACGGGGTTTCCTGCGGACTAGCGGCCTAAACGAGCGTCGTTCTACGCCGTGTTAAGCGCCGGAATCCAGCCTAGGCTGGCATGACGAACCGTATCGTCTTCCACTTTGCACTATCCGCGCACAACGCTGGCCGATGCCCAGCTATAGAAACATCAGCTTGAAAAGACCAGCCTCTCAGCTCTCATTCTAAAACCTATTTCGGCCTTTATTAAAGTCCCTCCCTCTATCATTCTATTCACTAGGAGGGGAATGAATGGATCTAGGCTCCCCTGGCCTCTCGGTGTAAGGCTGGCAATAATAACAGCCGTGGGTTTGGGGAGGAATCCTGAAGTGCGATATCTTGGAAGAAACTCCCCCGTGAGACGCGCGGTAAACACGGCCGAGGAAACAGAGGGGGCCAGCCCGAGTCATTACACACGACAGGGTTTGGTGTTCAACGGGTAATTGTCGTCGTTACGGGGCATTACGGCGGCGCAAAGTGGCCAGTTATTGAGGAAGTCGTTCACATCTTTCAGCGATTTAGTCCAATTAATCAGAAGCGGCAGGGAGGGCTGACTGGCTCGTTAAGACGGTCATTTGCCAAATCATTGCCCATTTATCATCGCTGATTATTGCGTGCGTGTACATGCAGATTTCTTTGGAATTATTGTCACCAAATGACACACAAAGAGAAATCCACTGCATGTGTTTGACGTGAGGCCGATACTTTTCATTTTTAACCACCGATTAAATTCATTGTTTTTCTACAACCTGTACCAATTTCAATCTGAACCCCCCCCAAAAAAAAAATTAACACCCATACACACACTTAAAAATACCACCTAGGCCTATACGTTTCACCAAGTTTGGAAAACAATAAGATTAACAGGTCAATATACAGAGAAAACAAGAGAGTTAATAATATTGTTTTCCTTCAAATGTTTGTCTCATTAACGGTTGATTTTTCTCATAACTTTCACTAGGACTAAAACTTGGGTTGAAACACATGTCACATCTACGAAACACTATCTTTAGTTTTGGAGACAAAGGTTCTATAGAAAAGAAACCACGGAACCAAGAACCCTGCTTTCTTGATCTTTTTACAGAAAGATCTATGCCCCTTAGTCCTCTCGTGCGTTCAAACATGAAGATTTGGAGAGAAAAAAATAACAATTCCCCGATGAATGCCAAAGGTTTCTATGGCGCAGTATATGATGAAGTCCAGGCCAGATAATGTGATTACCGTCGATATGTGCAGACATGGTGTATAATAATTGGCCGAATATAACCGCGTGCTTAATCTTTCACTGTGCGCACGGTGAAGGCAGATGGGCCTGGTGCCGGGATTGTCCTAGGCCGATTGATTTTCCGACCCCTAACGAGCTTACGGAAGGAGAAGATTGTCAATTCTGGCTGATGAGAAGGACTTGAAGAGAGCAGTGGTGTTTTATTTGTTTTGAGTTTTTAAGGGAATGAGGTCATTAACTTGATCACTTATTGATCATTCTGTGTGCAAGTTCTGTTGATTGGCCATTGTTATTCATTATCTGAAATGATGATGAAGTAATCGGCTACATTTCAATTATCATCGTACGAGATGTTGTCATAATCACGACCTCCACCAATATTATTTTTATCAGCACCACAGGCACCATCACCATCTTCACGTCATCACCACTCTCACCCCAATCATTCACCCAATAACCACCATTATCACATCGCCAACCACGTCATCAAAAGCCTCACCAACATCAACTACGTCACCGCAACTTACTGTCGGCATCATAAATTTCTTTTCGTTGTCATGGTCACTTTCGTCACATCATCACCACCATCAAGCTACACCGTTTAAACTCGTGTAATTTCCGATATTCACATTGATCTCCATCATGTTTCAGTCAGTGTCACAATTGTCATCGTCATCTCAATCAGCGTCATTGTTGCAATCAGAGAAGACAACACAATTACTAAAGAGAAGGCAAGGCATCATAAATCAACACAAGACAATTATTACAAGCTACCCTCCTCAAGTCACAAGCGGTTCAGGCGAATATGTGACAAAACAATCATAATGTCATTGCTTATCTCTCTCTTACTAAAATGACATGATTTGTAATTTGAGTTGTGATTGACTGGCACTTGACCCACGAAGACCTGATTACTACTTCGGCAACACCCAACTAGTACAAGTGACACCAGGATCTCAGCTCTGGTCACCTTGACAGTACCTGCATCATTTTAAAGAGGAGAAATGGCAGCTCCATTCGAAAGCATACAAACTTGATGAAGTTTCTCCCCCCAAAGAACCACCCACAGTTGAGTGCCATCGGCAATACAACTTTTTCTTTCTCTCCGCGCGTCTATTATCTGTGGCCCCCTTACCCACCGCGCCTCCCGGCATCTTAAAAAGAACCAACAATCACACTAATGCCGAAAAAGTGTGTCAATCCCATTCCGGGAGCACCCGGCCACCGCGCGTCCCACCCCCTCCCAGCGGGGGAACGACACGCGGCCCGCCCTGTCCTAGTCTCAACAACCGCCGGTGGTGGCTTTTCTTGCTCCGATGATCATCAAAATAATGACACCAGCTATCTTATGTTGTTTCCCTGAAATCTTTTATCATCTCCGATTTTTTTTTAGGAACGCATGCAAGGTTGCGATGGTAGTGGGGGGGGGGATTCGTACATTAGTGGTAGTAAATTCATTGCCATTATGGTATTAGGGATTTTCATCCGGTTACAAATTGGCGGCAAATTGGGGCACCGGGTCGAGAGGGGTTTTTGGTTGGTCGATGGGAAGACTGTTGGTTGTGGCTCTGGATGATATACTGCCTGCTGGCCAGTCCCCCCCACCCCAATACACACACACACCCTCTCATATTACCCCCACCCCTTGCTTTGTATTCATGAGCAGACACACTACTGCTAAGTCTAATCTGTTTGGATCTTGGTCACGACTGGTAATTTCTATCATGATGAGATTGACTCATAATTGGTGCAACCATTCTCCCAATCTGGACCCAGACAAAAAGAAATTATGCCTTCGATAATTTCATTTGCTCCGCAGTAATTTTACGAGTAACAGCCGGAGAAATATCACTTTGAGTCTTTGTGAGTGATGTTTTGTAAGCGTCAAAACTTTTTTTCGAAGCTGATGTGAGGTGACAATTATGACTATAGATAAAAAAAAACTTACGGACAATCAATTTCATAGTGGTTTTACATCATGCTTTCCTTAGATGAAAAATTGCCACCTCTCGATGACTCAGAAAAGTAATTAAAGCACGTTTCAAGTTTTAGTTGAGGGCTCGAGGGTGCCCAAATCTGGTTTAGGCCTAAACCAAAGCCAACATGGATTGAAACATTAAATAGAAGGTTTGTTGCAAATCCTATTCCCTTTTTGACCTTTGACCAGTAACTTCAAGAAAAAATGTACATGCCGCCTTATTTGAGAAGCGGTTGTCATGGACAATAACAACCTAATTATCACCGAATTTCTCTAAACTCAGAACGCTTCCTTTCCCTAGTCCTCCCGATATATTCGGGCATTAGAACAAAAAACACAGACACCGCGAATATACCCACACTAACCTAGCAGACTGTCAATAATTTCCAGAAGAGCTATTTTAAGTGGGTCGGTTTTCTCTCATTTAAGTGAATCATAAAGTGTCACGAGAGCGATGATCTAGGTTGCAAAACTGAACAAGTCAACAGAATGTAAGATTGATTCTATTTTGAAAACTCTGTGATAAGATTTTGATGCCCCAACCTCAACCGATTGACTGCAAGAAGGAAAAGAAAAAGAAGTGGGGCGGTAAACAAAGTTGACAGTCAGAAGCGCAATTTATTGGTTCTATTTTAGTCGGTGCAGACCATGAAACACCTACTCAGGATCATTTATTACAGTGTCATTAAGCAATAACCGGCCGGTACTTCGCTCATAATATACCGGAGAGGCAAAATAAAAACTTGCGTTCAAAGTATACTCAGCCGATACCGGTCGATTTCCCCTCAACCGGCCGGTGTCTCATCCCCTAATTGGAGCTGACGAATTTCTAATTAGAAATGAACACAGCGGGGTGTTAGCTGCTTTTAGTGGTCAATCAGTCAGGAGTCCTCCGGTCCGAGCATCGCTTGGAAGAGAGGGGAAGAAAAATAAATCGTTCTGTTGATTTTTTTGGTTTTAGGAGCAGAAACTAAAAAGCATTTTCAAGTGGCCTCGGCTTGCTCCTATCGCCCGCGCAAATTGGGCTTCATTAAGTCAATTTCCAGAGACACTCCATCAGGTGTATCCAGTCAATTTCTGTCCAAAAAGGGCACTTTGCGCGAATCATCTTGTTAGAGCCGAAACAAACAGCGCTAAGCCGCCGAGTCAATACTGACATGGAGGAGCTTTTTCCTGCTAGCTCCGTCAAACTTTGAATTCGTCGTATTATTTTTGTTTTGATATTTCACTGACGTGGCTGAACTCTGCAAATAAACTCTAGTTCTTTCTTCGTTCATGCTCTCAACTTGGAACTATTAGGGCACAGAGTGTGTTCTGCTCTCTGATTGGTTGGTTATCTGCCCACTGATTAAAAAGCTGCGCTGTGATTGGCCAGTGCCATGAAACAGTATTATCAGTATTATTTATCGAAAGAAACTTTGTCATGGACTTATTTTACGATGGTTCAGTTAAGGTGATACTGAAGATAAATGAATTTAATACATAAACACAAATCGATGGGCAACATGCCATAGTCATGATTCCATGTGGCGACATGCTTCATAGTTAACACATAACACTGCAACACGCTGCAGAGTGCGCACATAATGAATTGACCAAAATGTTTACCTTTTGGGATAAAATTTGCAGTACCCATACAAAACCATGGAAGTTTTCAGGGAAATTGAAGAAAAAAAAATCTCCAACTTGCGTCAGCTTTTGTTTCAATGGAAAATGTTGATTACAAATGCCATTATAGGCCTAATGGTACCCAAGTTTACATTGTCGGCTGTGTTGATCTCGAACTGAAAATCGTCACGTATGGATGCGCATGCACAATTGGAATACCGAACAGGTTTATAATTATGAATGGATCATTAAAGAGCGCCAGTCTTCATTCTCATGTGAATTCCGGGAACAAACTATGGACATGAATAGCATGCAATCATTACGTAGACGACGGCATTTGGTGTCCTTGGCCACGGGATCTAATCGGCAATATTACAAATAATCGGTCACGATGTGGTCATTTTCAAATCACGATGCTGCATTACTGCGGCATTATAAGTGAATGCTATTTCTAATTGAAACCTCGTTGTATAAATCTCTCGTGGGACACGTTGATAGGCCTACACGATTTGTTACAACTGGAATTATCCATCAGAGGATGACTAAAAGATATTGCTATTTTTTTGGAAAACGATCAAATGTTATTGGGCCTCTTATTTGAACGATCCTTAAGACGTAACGTAAGCTTCTTACCTAATTTCACAAAACACAAAATATCTTTTAACTAAATAAAACGCTTACCAGCCCTTTAGAGAAAAACATTGTCGCGGACCATTGTACAGCAACAAGACTGAACACACACAAAAAAGGGTTTGGACATGGTCATCGTATTGTTGTCAGAATCGGAAAGAATCGTCCATCAAAACAAGCAAAAACCGAATAATTTAGTTCTTATTTGTAAGGTGTTTCTTTGAAATGGCGTCACATGCATGTTTCTGCAGGTACACCTTTTGGGGACAAATTTCATGGTAATTGTTTTGCAGGAAAAAAATGCACACTAACATTTAGAATAAAATTTAGTCTCAGTTGTCAGATTCGCCCTTTATTGCTGTCGATGTACTCATTTCAATTTTGTGAATAAAATACTGGCGGGAGAAATTATGTTTGGGCGGGCAAACTTCCCTCCCGGCACCCGCCGAAGAGGAAACGGGGACAATAGTGACCGGACATCAGACAACGGCGCAGTGTGAACACGTTACACTGCAGCAGTGTACACAAATTGCCGCAGAGTTAATTATCTGAAATCAACCAATGATTTCCCCGTTCAAGAAACGCTATCGATTTTCTGTGTCAATACGGCACCCACATCATGCTTGACCGCCATCTTCTTTTCATACCGCTGGGTTTGTATGACCGCCTTGAAGGATGAGGTATTTCTTTCTGGTTGAGAGGTTGGCGCCATCAAAACTTGTCTGACTGGATTTTCTTTATTTCTTTCTTGAAAGAGGACCTTTTGCTGTTGTTTTTGGGGTTACCATGGAAACTAACGGAGCCATGGAAACAAACTAACTTTAACACAGGCTGCTGTGTTTTTGTGATTTTTCTTAAGAAATGTAGGCTTGATTGCCACCGACAACGCAAGAGCGTGTGCGTGAATTTGCAATAATTTACTCTTTCTGTTGGAGATTTATATCATAAATTTCACATACAATTAGGCCCCTAGTCCTTGGCAGATAAAGGAAACAGCGTTTCGAACCCATGAATGTAAGGCACTTAACTTGAATAGAAAAAATACACACAAAAATCTCCTCCACAAACCGTTGCGCCATAAACATGAAATCAAAATATAAACACTCTCTTTCAACTACAGGAAAAATCAGCTCTGGTTACTTGAATAAAAGAACGGCATTCTCAAACAAGCGGTTCTCTCCGTCCCGCGCTTTTCAGTGAGAGTGCCCCCGCAATAACGCCTTTTGAAAAGACTGAATCGAAAGAAGCATTTTGCAGTGAATTAAGAAAAATAATAATACATCTGACTCGGATCTGTAGAAGAACAAAGGAGGAAATATATCCTTCCCTCGACCACCCACCAGCCTTTCCTCTTTTCAAAAACATCCTAGTTGTGTTGGCTCTAACACAACGGCGAGTGCTTTCGATTTTAGAAGTTGTATGAAGCCTTCGGGGGCGTCGCCAAATGTAGAAGAAAAGGGGGAATTGTTCGCTTATAGTAAATCGCTCATTTGCAGTGTCTGATTCAAAATAATTTTGCACAATTTTTGTCCATTTTGCGTGTGACAAAAGCATCTGAAGCTACTGCATCTTCTTCGTCTGTGATGTCTAACTCTGTTGATTTCACTGCTTCATGCAGCTTTGCCATTCATATTGCGAAAGCGCGCCGTTTGTCACGCGACGTCTAGCTCTCTGCTTGCAGTAAAATAATATTTGCGACACGTTTAATCTGAAGAGAGTTTTGGGTTGCCAGTTCATTATTATGCAGTAGAATGCACACCATTTCTTCACATAGTAACACAAAAAGACGGAATCTGAAAAGATTAGAAATTCTGAGCATTTCATCTCAATGAAACACTAGCCGTCCATCCACTGTCACCCCTTGCAGTGCATTCCTTAAATTTACTTGTCTTCCTTTTGCATATTTAAATAAAAACGCCAAAAAAAACCACAAAAACTTCAATGTGATATGATTAACAAACACCGCATTATTTTCTTGAATGTCTCCGTTTTGTATATACTCCGGTTTGTGCACACTCATCATACTTTGAATTGGAAAGGTTTCATGATTGAAATACTCAATTTCAAAATCTTGTGAAAGACCTCAACTATTCTAATGGGGACAAACGACTTTGTTTAAATTACTGCTGCCGTTCTCTACCCATAGCTTACGGATGAAAGTAGAGCTTCTACTTAACTCCCAGTTATTATTTTGGTCGCAAGTTTCAAACTATACAGCACTGAATAAAGGCACAATGTTTGCACGACTCCTCGCCATCAGCCCCACCATTACAGCTCAATTTGAGCATGTAATCCATTGTGTTGACTTCTTGTCCCTTCGGTGACAAAAAGCCTTAAAGTCAAGCTGCACGTGTGCCCGGCATCATAGAGGGGGGAAAAGTCATCAGTGAACCGTTAATACAACACCAGCAACGTGTGCTTTTGACTACAAGAGGCGCTGAGGTGAACATAAATATTGCCGTGTACAAACAGATTAATAGCGGCGTATATGTACATGAAAGACAAAGACAGGAACAATTGTTGGCAAAATAACCCTCCCGTATCGTGTCGGCGTTAAGAGTGGAACTTCCAACTCAAATATGACCACAAACACCATCCCACTTGGTGATTCTACACCACGATAAGAATGTGTTGGCCTTCCGTTCGGCACTAACTCTAAGCTTGGCTTTGCGTTATGGGCTTGCCGTGAATAGCTTTTTTAAAGGATCGATTGTCGGAGGAGCTGAGCAATTTATAATTTCACTTTTACTTTCATTGGTGAGAGAAATTGATTTTTACAGTCAGTGGACACAATGCATGCATTGGGAATGTTCAAATATGAAATTGGCTTTTTGTTGTTTTTAAATCTGCGTGGACATCAAAGCAGGTCTAGAACATTTAAAAAAAAAAAAGATTTGTCTCGAGACGCCAGCTAGTGCGCGCGCGGAAAAAGAAATAGTAAGAATTGATACTTGATTTGGCTTCTTCGATGAAAACACTTTGGCAGAAGCCATAGACACACAATTGCTTAAAATGATTGCTATTTACGCCCCCCCCCTAAAAAAATGATGCCTTCAAACACATTTGCTCATGACAAACTGAAGTAACTCGTTAGTAAAGATTGCAACCAGAATTTATGAAAATATTGCTATAAGTTTTTTGGTAATTCAATTGTTTGTTTTTTTCTTACAAAATTCTTGTTGTCAGAAATTCTGTTGGGTGAATTCCAAGTGTGAAAAGTTGTGACAAAACTTCCATTTTAATTTCAATACTTCATGTTCAAGAAGGTGCTTTCTACAAAATCGCATCCCCCAAAAATGGAAGTTTCAGGAACTTTAGGTGAAGAGAGATATGGGTATTTTACCTCAGGTTTTGAGGGTGAGAATCGTCAGTTCGATGCTCAACAATGTGGTCAGAGTTTTGTTGTTCCCCCATGGTTTGGTATTTGTGAACTTTGATAAACATAACAATATTGAAATTACCCAAAATATGCAATACTGCACAATTTCATTGATCTCTTAATAGTCACTATTTTTATGGACGCAATATTTTGAGCCTCTGACATCCCTGTCATTTATAAATGTGGTTTTTTTTGTTCCTTTAATAAAAGCGTGGTAAAAACAACATTTACAAAGATGACTTACCGGGATAATCTCCAATCCTTGGCATCATCATGTTTCCTCGGATGAAATCCATAGGAATCCCGGCGGATAAGCCCGCTCCGTGAGCCGCTGCCTTCATTAACATGTGTTCCGAGGCTGCCGCGTGAAAGGCGCTCAGGTGCGCTACCCCAGCATGGTGTTGTCCGTTCAAGTACCCGGCGTACAACGGGTGAGCGTAGATAGCCGGCACCGGTACACCAACGCTGGAACCGTGCTTAGAGGTGACGACGGCCGGTCCGTGTATGCCAGGCGGTTGCAGGTTGAGCAGGCCCGGCTTGGGGATGATACTGCCGGTAGCAGCCGCAGCAAAAACTCTGGCAGGGTTGTTAACGCTTTGGCTGGTCGCGGGGACGTGAGCGTGGAAGTACGCCAGTCGCTCACTGAGTGCGGCTTGAAGTTGCCCCTGCAGACCGGCATACTGCACGGCGGTGAGCGTGCTGGCCGCCGTGGCTGCCGTCGGACTCCGTGGTTTCACCACCCTTGCCGTGCAAGGAGGATCTTTAGACAAAAGTGCGTCAATAGAAAAAGACTTGTGTCCCTCCATCCTTCTCGCTCCTTATCGAAGTGTCCAACTTTTAGAAATCAGTCAATGAAATACTGAAAACCCCAGACTATTAACTTAGATCGCACGGAGATTGCGAACACGCACCAAAGAGGATGAGAGATGGATCCAAACTCAAGACGAACCTCTAAACGCCTTCCCCCGCTAGGCAACAATAACTCTCTTTCCTTCACGACAGAACTATGCCAGAGTGTGACACACGATTGTGGTATATGCTGTAATAACTGCTCGATACCTATTGAACCTGAGTTGATTGCCGTGGTTCCCTAACTATCAAATAGATATCAAACTCTGTCGTCCATGTCCATTTCTTTAGATTACGATATAGAGCCCATGGACGGGGTGACGTCACGCCAACTCGTCACGCGATTGGCTGAGCGATCGGGCAGTACTCATTGGATATCTAGAAGTCGGCCATAATCTGTTGTTGATAGGCGAGTCGGCAATTACGGCTTTTAATTACGTGTTGACAAGAACTGGTAATACCCCGGCTTCAATCGATTCGCCGCAGCAATCGGGAGAGTTATCTCTGCCAAAGCCGCAAATATATACACCCAGCACTCAACCGGCAAACGAGGAATCTGGTTGGGAGTAGCCGAGTCATCAGCGACGATGCTGGATATCGGGCGGGTAAGACTTAATAGCGGTGTCAACACTGTAAAGCCGAACGGTAAACCACTGCCGAGTGCCAACCGATACCACGCAATGCAAAATTATATAAAAGATACGCAATTGTTATAGGAATCGACGCGTGAGAGTCAGCTATGTTCAGAGCCCTCTTGATGAGCTCGATATCACACGGGGATAGCGGAGCAGGGCTTCGCCACCGGCAAAAACACGCAGGCAAATCAACCCGTAACCGACTATCACCAACAAGCCCCCAGCACCAATGAACAGACCACCCATTCAAGGGGAGGAAGGGAGGAGAGAGAAAAAAGAATCCCCGGACAAATTAATTACACAAATGAAGTCATGGACGACGCTGCCTGCTCATTGTATGTCATAACACCGGCCGGCCCTCTGTAAACAGCGGGGACATGTGGCGGCTGTTCACCGCAAGCTAGCTGCTGGCGGTGACTTGCGTTATGAATATGTAATTAGTTCGACCCTGTTTACCAAAAAAAGTGGTCCACATAAAAAAAATATTTAGATATTTATAATTTTGCCAACCACTCTTCATTACTGAGCAGATAATTATGTGAAATGTTCTTAGACAATTAAAGCAATAATTTCATCCCAATTACAGCCCTTTGAATATTAATCAGCCGCGCGCGCATTCATTGTCACGTGTCGAGCATGCGCACTCGATCCTCCGGGGACATTTTGTAGTGATTATGGTCCTCTTTCCATTTTGGAGGGTAGTCATTTGGATTAAGAAGTGAAATGGATATCTGCCCACAAGCAAGAACCGCAGAAATTACTTAGTATATCACATAGAACTTCCAATGGCAATCATGAATTGTTATTATTGTGGACTGGTATTGGAAAACATAGCGCTAATCGTACTGCTCAGTGAAGCATTTCTGTCAGAAATCAAACATGCAAAGTATAATTAATCTATTTTTTTTTCAAATCTGGACATTTTTATCTACCGGGCCAAATACTATATCAATAAATTTGGCTAATGAGAGCGTATCGGAGCGCGCACACGCATTCAATGTACACCACTACGGCAAAACAACCCTAATTCCTTTATCAAGTTGAACATGAAATAACAATTTCATATAATTTCATTGTTTTCCACCTCTGTAGACAAGAATGTGTCTCCGTTCTGCACCGGGTTTGTAGAATAAACCAGTGACTACAGTAATGTCTTATTCGAAGACATTACTGAGACGGTACCTCGCTAACGCGCATGTCACACGCGTTGGGCGCAATTCTATTGGTCGAATGAGCAATGAGTGCGTACATGACTACCAGGCCTGCTCGCAAGCGTGGTACCAGGTCAGTTTGACGTCTGTGCATTTCGAACCAATTTTTGTCTCTTTTAGTTCCGGTGGTTTTTGCAGAGTCTTCAGCTTTATTACGTCACAAATACTTATAAACGGTGGTATTGACAAAAAAGGTCGAAATACCGAGATATTAAGTCACAAGTTGCAAGGGACGGATCTAGCTTTTAGGAAACGGACAGAGACGGGCTGGTATTTGAGTGAAGGTGTGCCCCTGCTATGGGTTCAGGGAGCATGCCCCCTCCCCATTGTAAGGCAATTAGAGACTAAATTTAAGAACTTTGAGTCAAATGTTATTATTTTCGCCCCATTTTACTGGTAGGCCTATCATAAAACAAAAACAAAACATTCAGCAGCTGAACGGAGGATTGCAAGCCCTCAACCCCCTAGATCCGCTAGTGGGTTGGTGAGAAAGTCAAACCAAATCAGCATGTAGGAATTTGTGGTCAGCGCAACGTTGGGTTGACAATCCCAACAGTTTTGGGGGTTTTGACTGAGGGCACACGACCGTTTCATTTGATCTAGCCCATATGGCGCGGTTTCACAGTTAATCTGTTGGATCATTCCTAGTCGGCGCTCCAAGCTCTGTGCTCTGGGCAACTTGGAGCGCAAAAAAGAGCATCCCTTCTCCGTATCATTACTGATTATATTCACTCAGATTAAGTTGTTTGCGAAATCGAGGCGTTTGCACTCCTCCGTCCCAATTGCTATTAATACCCAGTGATCTCGAAGTTCTAAGCTGGGATCTATATAAAATGATACTACCCACCCCGCCAGATACAATAAAACCTTGGCAGCAATTTCATTCCATAAATGTCGGGTCAATCAAATCCACCGCGACAAAGAACCCCAGGCCCTGAAACGGACCAGGCACGACAATTTAGAGGGGGGAAACACGAGGGTAGACGGTGGCCCGGAAAATTGGAAACGCCAGCCCAACTCGGACTATTTCCACCGCGCAGCACCTCTGGTAAGAGAGATGTTATCTCGAGATAGCAATTCCGATATGCGCACTTTGTTAACTCGGCCGAAGATTTCATTGTTCAAGAAGAAACTGAAGAAGCATAAAGCGAAGCAAGTGGTGCTCTTGTTTTTGCAAGCTAGCTTTACGGCAGAACAAGCTCGGCATGAATGCGCGTCAATTGAATCTGATTTATGTATTTGCCCTATCTCCCTGTATACCGATCTTATCTTTCCGCTCCGATGTGCTTGATTAATACTTTAGGGGGAAACTGGCGATTTCTTCGCCCTTTTTATCTCGGCAACTTTGTTTGTGACTTTAATTTCAATTAACAGAAATGAATGGGAAGTGACGGGCGAGGATGAGTGGAGTTGTTACAGACACGCAGGTGATTTGGTCTTTCTCCTGGGAGAGTTGGGAGGGCAATCTTTATCATTATCATGTCTGACTGTGAGGATGTATTGTGTAAAGCCAGACTGACAAGGGACAAATTTGCTCTCGACATCCAACGGTGGTGTTTTCATTGTTTGAAGTAGGTTGATGCGCCGAAGGGGAGGGACTTTTTTCCACCGACATAAACGATGCATTTCGACTGAAGCTAAAAAAAAAAAGCGTTGGTACAATACAGTAGTGTCTCAGTGCGGTGTAATTGTTCACACGAGCAACATATCCATGTATGGTTTTATTTGATGTTGTCAGTGATAATAAGATACGGTTAGCCTAATAAAGCTGGGCTCAGAGAGCCCTTTTTTGCTTAAATAGGCCGGATTTTGCACCTTCATTGGCGTTACGAGTATCCGGCACTGCCCAGTTCACAAAGTGACGGCGAGTCAGTCAGTCAGTCAGTCGATCGGGGCATGGGACCAGCAAAAACCTAGGAAAAAGTAAACAAACAAAAAACAAAAAATAATATCATTAAAGGACGTGTTGTTGTCTTTACGAAATTAGGCGAAACAAGATCATGGAAACTCCTTTTGACGCTCTGTATATCAGTGGAAAGATGACGAAGTTGATAATCCATTTTATGCAGGGGAGGAAAGTTGCTTAGACTGATCAAGTTTTGTTTAAACAAACAAATATAAGCCTAGAACAATTTTTGCAAACACATGAATGGCGTTGAATTTATGGGACATAAATGGGAGATATTCTTTTCTTTTTTTAGTGAATTTTATTTAAGTCGAGAGCATGCACATAGAGAGTACATCTCTCGTTATCTGTCGACAAAGCCACTCATAAATAATTAATATAGAACTTATGATTTTATAGATTTTCACGAGTATCCTTTGTGACGTTGGTGGTATTGACGGCATCTATCACTTGAATTTGAACCTTTCCAGTTACCTTCCATCACCCAGGTCGAATGACTGACGTTATGACTATTTTTCTTTGGCATGAAAACGGGATCGGCAAATGAGATTATCTGCTAAGCATTTTAAGGTCTAACGGGGGAAGCCAAGCGTGGCCGGACAAATCGCCTGCCAAATCACGCTTGAAAACGGTCAGCCGTGCCACACGGCTGCACCTCAGCTGTGCCAGAATCGGCTACAGACCGGAAAATAAATTGCCACAAACTTTACATACATAGTATAAAATACTTCCAACACTTTGCTCAGTGTTCAAATAAAAGCCTGATTTACTTGGGTTTTTTTTACTTTCTGGTTAATTTTTAGGAGTTACCAGATGGGTTTTTTTTTCGGTGATATTCCTCCCAAGATGATCATTCTTAAGAAAGTAGTCCCGAAGCCCATCGCCATTTAAAGAAATTCTCCATCGGAGATACACACGGAGATATGCACTTATGGGTCAAATTTCATTCAAATTTCTCACAATTAGAAGCTTATGGACCTGTCACTTTTAACAAACACTTATGTCAAACCTTCCTGGATTAAAAAAAATAACCGCATGCAAATCGTAAAATTGGCTTCCGTAAAGCTTCTGATTTTTTTTCTTTAGCGTGCCAATCCAACATTCGATCAATTCCTACGTTTATGAGTCTGGATATCCTCTGCCAAAGATTTCTTCATCCTGGCAAGGGACAAGGGGAAGGGGAAAACATCACAAGTGAAGAAAACTTTGGCCCTCAAATCTCAGCCAGTCACGCTCCGTCTCAAGACTCGATATCTCCCAATCCCATTATTGAGCGGGTAATGAGAAGCCCAAATTACAGTTGGCAGTCATCACGTATGATTATACGGAGATAATTCCATCACTTCGACCAGATCTGCGACCGGCATCCTATTAGGACGAGGGAGTTGCGATGCTCTTTCCTTCATCGGATCATCATCGGCATCGGCACGGGGAGCCGGCCGGCAATGGCCCCCGGGCGGATGAGCCTGAGTGACCCCCGGACATAGAGCTGTTGTGATCATGGACCCATCGGTAAACCTGACTAGATATGGCGACAAGGAAAGAAAACGAAAGGGTAGGATGCCAGGATGGAAATCAAACTACGGAAAATGATTATTATTTTGTTTCAAGCACAGTTTATACTTGGATTCTTTGATTCTTGACTGGTAATAACACTTGCGATTGATTTTGACATGCATGAAATGTTCATACTCAGTACGAAAGCGAACGTGAAAGCAAATGCGAAAGTGAACTTGTGACGTCACGGAAAGTTTCCGTGCTGCAAAGTCACACAAGTTGAACACATTTCAACTCCAGTGAATTTCTCAGCAAATGTACCCAGACGTCAAAAGCAGATGTTCCCCAAAATGTAAACTCCGTTCAATTTTTTTTCTCGAATAGTTGTCGTGTCGCTACACTTTGCGCTTGCCTTCTCAATCGCATTAAGCATGCACCGGCTGACCTTTAAGACTGTCTTTTTAATTGGTAGTTCACGTTTGTACGACATGTATCTTGTTTTCTCAAGTGCTGAACTGCCACTTTTGAGAATCTTAACAGCAGAGGGCGCCTTACTGTGTGAAGATGGCACATCCGGATATCCGAGACCATCACAGGGTGATGTAAATTGTTTCCGAGAGGATTTTAGCGCCGTGAAGGGCTAACCTGATACGGTGACACGACACAGAGCCTCCATTATCTAAGTGCACAATTTAATCAACAGCCCTGAGCGTGTAATTGAAATCCGTTTTCGGAAAA